ACACTACAATTGCACAAAAAAATAGTTTATAAAAGCAAAAAAAGTGCATTTAGCATGATATGTTTCCTTTAAATGCGTGGACGAAAAGGAAGACCTGTCTTCCTGTGGGCCAACACAGTGTTGTGATAATGATGGAAATATAAAATTCACATTTAGGAGCGTTTCAGGTTGCAGCAGCTGGCTGTAGGGTTTGAATTCAATCTACTTTTTGTGATTCATTGACTAAAAGAGATTTTTTTTTCTTTTAATTTTTCTTTCAAAATGCCAAACATGTCAACAGTTCACTGTCCTAAATGCTTCATTACACCCAATACATTCGATTGAAGATGTGGCTTTGATGACTGATGACAAAACCTTCAGCTTGGGGGAATTTTGATGGACATTTTTCAACACTCCTGATGGTTTGCAGCTGAAGCGATTAACTGAGAGGTGTCCGAATAATTAACGATGCGAGAACTTAATAGCTGCAGGCTTTACCTAGAGTGCTAAATCAATACAGTGAGACATATAGTGACCTACAGAAGGTCTCATTCACATGCATGAGATCAGGATTTGTTCAAGCTCAGTGTTTTTGTAACTCCGTCACAAAAGCGTTCATACAAAAACATTTAATTATTTGTACTTTCATTACCAGACCCCAGAGCTGGCATCTATTTTCTCCTCATCACCTCCGTGTTTTTAGCATTCACATCATCTTTGTTAAGTTTTTACAATAATAGGCTCAGCATTTTTTCATTTTCAATTACTTTTTTGTAGTCTCAGATCTCCTTTATAACTAATAAGGTCTATGATAATTAAAAGGCTACTATTCTTTGAAGGCACACATACCACTCACCACCTTTCATACCAAAGATTTAAACTAAGATTTCACATTAGCTGCGTTTCCATTGCAAATGTGCGCAAAATTGTCGATATTCTGTTAATGTCGAAAAAACACAGTTTCGCAACTGCAGTAGTTCTGCTTAGTTCCATTAAGTAAGAAATGCTATTAAAGTCATGCTTGAATACTAGAGGTGTTCACGCATGTTCACGCATATTCGGACCCGATACCGATACTGGTATCGGGTCCGATACCAGCATCAAGTACTTGTACTCGTCCTCGTAAAAGCCGGCCGATACTCTTAACCGATACCGCTTTTGTCCCCTTTTTTGTTCCACCTGTGCTGCGCTGCACAAAGGGTAAACAACAATCCATACCAGGCGGGGACGCTAACGCACTGACAAGTTATTTCCGACCGCACCCCCAAATAACAGAAGAAGAACAATGAGAAGAAGAAGAAGAAGTAACATATCGGCAGTTTGGAGATGTTTTAAGATCAACACGGAGGAAACAAACAAGCAGACTGTCTGCT